CAATGCCATTTCACCTAGTGCACAACTTTCATCTCAGAGCACCAAGTAAAAATCTGCATAAGTCAAAGTCAAACACAAATGTTTAAGAATAAAACCATATAGTCAACATTGATCTGCTCATTGGGTTTTTTTAGTGTTGTTAGACCTGGAATCTGCACAGCCTTCACCCCCTTTCCATTGACATTACTGACAAAGTATCACTCTGAAATTATTAGTGGGTGATACACACTGTTTGAAAGAATTAACTTCTGCCATAAAATAGAACAATAAACTACAGTTCTTCTATAGTAAAGAAGTAGTAAAATTACACTATAATTCCATTTGCAGCTTTTGAGTGCTATGCTAATACAAAGATGTAATGCCCATCATCACTTTGTTTCAACATAGAGTAACAAGTTTAGTACAAAGTAATTCCATCACTAAACTTGCAGTTTCTAAAATGTCCAAACTCAACCATTTTCAGTGGTACAGGACCAAACCTTGAAACAATCCTTATGAGGTCTTGTACTCTGCATCAAAATTAGGAAGATTACTAAAAACAAACACATTAGTTCTAAAATTAAAACTTCTATTAGAGATAAACAATAAGCTCTTACAAGAAAGACCGTTTCTTTAGAAATGTAGTATCTCTTACCAGACCAAGAAATAAACCTGTAAAATCTTTTGGTACAAAAGCACTTCTTCCTGTCATCTCACATTGCTAAGCTCTCTAGATTACTGCAACAGCAATAATTTGACTGCTTTGTCATCCAGTCTACCCTATGTTATCATATAACTAGACTATCTGAATGTGCACAGTCTGGAACGAGAGGTGAGGCATATATGATGGGTGGATATCCCTTATGATAAGGTGCACTGGTAATGGGGCCTGGAGCATCTCCTGTATGAGGAGAGGCTGAGAGACCTGGGACTCTTCAGCCTGGAGAAGAGAAGACTGAGAGGGGACCTTATCAATGTCTATAAATATCTGAAGTGTGGGGGCCAAATGGATGGGGCCAGGCTTTTTTCAGTAGTACCCAGTGACAGGACAAGGGGCAATGGGCAAAAACTGGAACACCAGAAGTTCCAGACAAACTTAAGGAAAAACTTCTTTACTGTGAGGGTGATGGAGCCCTGGGACAGGCTGCCCAGAGAGGGTGTGGAGTCTCCATCTCTGGACATGTTCAAAACCCACCTGGATGCTTTCCTGTGCAACCTGCTGTAGGGAACCTGCTTTGGCACGGGGGTTGGACTAGATGATCTCCCGAGGTCCCTTCCAACCCCGACCATTCTGTGATTCTGTGATTCTCTCCAAGTATGCTTGCAACCCCACAGGAAGATTTTCATTTGGTTTGGTGAAATGTGAACAGTGTGCAGTTGAACTACTACTGGCATACAGGAAGAGCCACAGCATGTTTGTGGATAAGGGTGTAAACTAGGAGGTTTACAGGGAAAAAAGTAGAACAGAACTAAAGTTTGGTCAAGAATATGATGATAGTCTGCACTACAGCTCTTTCATCTGACACTAAAGTGAAAGAGAATCAAATGAAGTTTTGGCCTTTGAATAACCAAACAAGATAATTTTTATGCAATATAGGTCAGTCTTCATATATTCCCTCTAATTAAACTACCATAGCTATTAAAATCCTACCTTGGTACCTTGGTTTGCCTGAAGAATCTGTTTCTGATGTAGGACTTGAGCTGAAGACAGTTGCATCAACTGTGGGAAACACAGTTATAATTTAATTTGCAATAAATGCAAAGTTGCAGTGTTAGAACTGCAGCATTTCACAGTTCATTTGGCATTTTAAATAATGGTAAAGCTCTTCCATGGTAAATCTTTGCTTTAGATCTGTCTTTTTCTTTTAAGGACTCAGTTTTGTCTGTGATGCTGAGTAAACCCCATACTTACCTGCTAGTATAAAGATAGCCATAGTCAAAATGACAGACTTCATGACTGCCACTGGATTCAGTTCATGCAATATATGCAAAATGCTCTTTAGACCTTTTGAAAAGGATCTTCTTGCACTGTACTGGCTGTTTAGCTTGGAGCTTGTTTTATGTTCATAGAATATACAGCCACTATTATGTTGGCATGTGAACCTCTCTAAAAATAGCGCCAACGAAACCACAAATTCTGTTTGCAGAGTGTACAACTTCCACAAAATTTGAAGGAAACTAAAGGCAAATACTCTGGTGAACAGAAAAGTGTTAAAGCAGTCAGGATTCATGACACCACTGTTCTGTAAAACTTGAAGCTAACTCCCAATTTTATAAAGGGCAAATTACCAACTGAACACTGTGTTTATCACATTTTTTTTCCTATTGAAATGGTGGCAATTTGATCAGAGGATACCACAACCCTGTTGAGCACTATCAGTGATTGTCAAATTAATTTGAATTTACGTCTTGTGCAAAAAGAAATGTTCAGGAAAAGAAGAGCCTTATCTACTCATTTCACAGACTTACAGCAGCCACCGAATAGTATTGAAAGTCTACTAAGCATGTATTGATTTCTAGGATGATGGAAGGGTCATCATGTTCTCATTTACCAAAGTGTGTACCAGATGACATCCAGATGAATTCAGTCAAGTTAGAAAAGTCGTAAAATAGCATAAAGGAAATTCAGAATCACTCCAGACAGAATACTTCTTACATTAAATACAAAATGCATCAATATAAAGCAAAAGAGGAAACCTTTATGTTTATGGAAAAAAGAAAAAAAAGAAACCAGAACTGTCTGTAATATGCTTACAATAATACTCTGGAGTTGCAAAAGCTGTTGGCATCTTATATGGCGTTCCTGTCCTCACAGGTGTTGTTGGTCCAGGGGGTTTAGCTGTAGTGACAGAAGGAGGAACTTGTGGCAACAAGGCATTCATTATTTGAAAGTGAAACAGCTTTCTGATTTTTGAACAGAACTAGCTTTGTGACAACTGCTTCAGAAAACAAGTGCTTTCATTTAAACTGTGACATTCCCTCAAAACTTACACAACAGCTTCCAGCTGGATTTAGGAAAGTTCCAGGTTGTCTTTATTGCCAATATAACCTACTCCTGAAACCCAGTAAGAAAATTCTTTGCTACTTGAAGATTGTCTTGGGGTCTTCAGTCACCCAGAATATGACCCAGTTCAATGCACAGAACTACTCTACACACAGAAGGCTAAAAGGATGCAAAATGACCGTCACTGACATTTCTGTTTCTCAGATGAAAGAGCACATTTCTTCATCAGATGTAAGACAGAAGAGCTGAAGTCAGCAAGTGAAACTTTGTTTCTTCTCTCAAACATAGCTAAGGTCCTTTCATTCCTACTCTCAATACAGCACATGTATTAGCAAGGGGAGAGCTGGAACATCTGTAACAATAAACACCCAGTCCTTAGCTACAGTCTGCATTAGGAGTTTAACCACAGAGCAGTACTGAAACTTCCACCAAACGAAATTAAGATGCACTTCAAATAAAAGTAAAAAATGCAACCAAGTCCAACATTTTCAATGTTTATAACACTACATGACCCAAGGGAAAAAGCTTTCTTTCTCAACCAATATGTACCAGAGTAGGCACCATAAGTTTGGACAGAAACTGATTGACAGAGGCAATATAATTAAATTACTCCTCAGCTGTCATCACCTAACAATGATAACATATTTCTAAGATGCAAACAATCCATGGTAAAGAACGGCTTGATTGTTTTCAAAATAGCTGTAAAAGACAAGAACTGCAATCACAAAATATGCAGATACTTCAAAATAATGCAGAAAACAACTTCATGACTGAAATCTCAACCCTAAAAACGTCAAGAATGACATAATGTAGTTACCTTCCCTGCATATATGACAGAGAAGAACATGGTGACTAAAGGCAAAACCCTGGTGAACCAAGTTTAAAACAACAAAAATCCCTACCTTCCATTAATTTCCTTAATAAAGTGGAAATTTATTAAGTTTCTTGTAATAAACTTTCTCTCCCTACTTTCCACTAATTTCATTATTAAAGAAGAATTTTATTAAGGTTCTCACTAGAGTCCAGTTTCACAAAGTTTCTGTAACTCTCTTGTTTCCTTTTTCTCTGTTCAGGAGACTTTTATATCTGCACAGAAACCTTCTCGTAATACTTGTCCACTGAATGAATAAGAAAGATAGAAGTAAGGAATTAATCACAGTGCTAATGAGAAAGAGAAACAGGCCAAAATTATGAAAGGGAAAATCCAAGATGAACGTTGAGGCAAATTTTTCCTTTTAATACTGTAGAGCAGCTTTTCCAG